CAGTTCTTCGAGTGAACCCAACCGACGGGTTCACGAGGTAAGCATTGTTTCATTAGAAAATAAGATATATAAGTTAATTGATATCATGAATTCACTTGTTACAGGAAAAATTAGAACAACAAAGGTCTGTGGAATTTACACCTTACCGGATCATCTGATCGACTATTGTCTGATGTTGCAAAACGAATCTGGCACACACGTCAATGCCGTTGGCAACTTCTCAGGACCTCCTCAAAGGCCTTATAATCCCTACGGTAACACGTTTAATCCCGGATTGAGAGATCACACAAACTTGAGCTACAAAAATAACCAAGTAGCTAATCCTATTTATCAACCGAGAACTCCACCTTTTCCTGTCCAAACACCCCAAAAATCTTCCCTCGAAATGATTGTAGAGAAATTGGCCTTAGCACAAGAAAATTTTCAAACTCAAACACAAACCTAATTTCGAGAATTGAAAAACAAATAAGCCAATTGATTCAAATAGTTGGGCGCCTAGAATCCCGAGGTCGATTACCTTCTCAAACCGAAACAAATCCGAGGGAAAATGTGAGTGCAATTACTTTGCGGAGTGGTACCGTCATTTCGCCTGAACCTGTGAAAGCATTCTAAAAAAAGATCCAACAAGAAGGAAGATAGCGCATCATCAAAGAATCAAGAAGAAAAATCTTTGACTCCACCTATCTCAGGTAAAAATGTTTCTTGTTCTTCTTTTTCATCTACTTACGAAACTTCACCTCATTTTCCTGGTAGGCTTACACGACATGATAAGAAAGAAGATGAGAAAGAGATTCTTGATACATTTAGGAGAGTGGAAACAATATTCCGCTTCTTGATGTGATTTGGAAAGTGCCTAAATATGCGAAATTCTTGAAAGATTTGTGCACAAATCGAAGGCGATTAATCGGAAACGAAAAAGTGAATCTTGGCGAGAACGTCTCAGCTATCATTCAGAAGCGCCTCCCACCAAAATATAAAGATTAAGGCATGTTTGTTATACCATGCAAGATCGGGAACGTTGGAATAAAGAGGGCTATGTGTGACTTAGGCACATCCATCAATGTGATGTTGTTGTCCGTCTACAACAAGATTTCAAGTGAACCATTGAAGGAAACGAGGATCACAGTCCAGCTAGCCGATCCGTCAATCATTTACCTCCGAAGGAGTTTTAGAAAACATATTGGTAAAGGTAAATGATCTTATTTTCCCTACTAATTTTTACAATATCGATATGGAAAATGATCGCATCAATACGGATCTAAGATTTTACTTGGGCACCCATTTCTAAGCACGGCACATATAAAAATCGATGTCCGCAGTGGCATCTTGACTATGGAGTTCGATGGAGAAATCGTCAAATTCGATGTATATAAGGCCATGAAATATCCGAACAATGTGGCAAGCTTAAATTTTGTCGATATAATGTATCCGTTAGCCACTGAATTTATGGATACTAATTTATTTCATGACTTTTGTAGGGAATTGGAGCATTTCAACAATAGGGATTTTGACGAATTCGTTTTTGTTATTTCATCTTCGTCTAATTTGTGTTTCGTACCGTCGAACATTAAAACTCTTCCTTCAATTTTGTAGGTACCAAAAGTTGAGTCGAAGCAATTGGCGGGACATTTCAAGAACTCGTCTTTTGACGAAATTGATGTATTGTCGGCCATCGTTTTAGACAAGCTTCAAAAAGGACTCGAAGAATGTAATCCAACCGAATGTATATGAAACTTAACTCATGTAAACATTCAAGAAAAGAAATAGTAATGAGGAAAAACGATGTTATAATAAAACTTTCAGCTATTAGGGAAAATAAAATAAAATAATTCATAGCCCTGGGGGAAACTGAATCGAATAAATTCAATTATTGCACCTTCCTGTATTTCCTCTCCGGGAGTACGCTCTCCGAACACCTGCGAGAATTTCCACTCCAACGGTTGTGGTCCTCCCACCGGAGCCACGGCTGCTTCCGCACCGCCGTTATTCATCGTTATTTTTAGCTCAGACAAACCGATTCCACCTCACGAAATAAAATAAAATCAAACTCAATTCATCGACGATCCGATCTGCCTCTCAGATGAACAAAAAAGATTGAAATATTTCATTGATTCGAAGCAATCTCCGTTTCACAAATGCAAGCTTCTCGATCGATCATCTATAAATTCTACAAAAAAGAAAATTTCATCGGTGATATTCTATCACTCTTTCCTCTCAAATAGGCCATGAACACTGATTTGATATATTTTCTAACAAAAATAAACAAAAAAATTAACATCGACGAGATTGTTCACTCTATCCCTCTCAATTGAAACTCCCACAGTTACTCTCTTAATATTTCTCTTTTAATTTGAGAGGAAAAAGGATTAAAAAATGGAAATTGGAAGATAATAACAGCTGGAAATGCGATTAAGCTTTTTGGTTTATTATTGGAGCCATCACCCTATCTCTCACCCTTTAATTTTTCTTTGGATAAACTTTGTGGATGCACCTTTTACTATACATTTTTTCAAACTTAATCCCTGACTAAAATTTTATCTTTTCTATTTTTTGAAATGCAAATTCCGATTAAATAATTTGATGATATTTATTTTTAGAACATAAAATTATATAATAATTGATTGATTGTAAAAATATCAAGGTGTGCATTTTAATATAATGTAGGATTAGTTAATGGTATCTGGATTGTGTCGGTAAAAATTAGGTCTTGAAATTTTGAGCGCGTAAATTTAAATAGGCAATACAATATACCTAATTTATTACTTTCATCACTATCGTATTTTCATATCAATTTAACCCTCAAAGTTGTTCAATTGCATCATTCTATGTCCTACCCTAAATCTCAAACCTAAACTCTAACTTGAGGTTTATAATTTAAGGTTTTAATTTAGGGGTAGGGTATAGAATGATGCAATTAAGCAACTTTGAGAGTTAAATTGATTTATGCACCTGCCATTAAAAAATAGAAAACAACTTTAAAAACCAAAAATGCTAAACAAAGATAAAGGTCTCTATAAAGAGTGTGCATGTGTCTAAACTCGTGTGATGTGCATAAATGTGTGCTCATCAGTGAGGGCAAGTATGATTGTGTGTAGGAGCTGTAAACATCGCTAAAAGATTTGCACTAAACTTTACTACAGCTGTTGAAGACATTGAAAGGAATACACCAACAAATACACCCTCCGAGAGTCTACAGCCACATAACTGCAAACATCATCCAATTAAAATTGAAGGATTCAGAAATAGAATGGTGGTATAAGTTAATAAACAAAGATAAAATGATCCAAAAATACAACAAGAAACCCGTGTATGGCCCAGATATAAAAGAGGCCTCAGTGACTAAATAAAAGTATGCAATCTTTGTGTGCTCATATTCAGGTGAAGGTTGGCGAACATCAATTAATAAGGACTAATGAACGAAACCAACATAGACTCCGTCAAAATTAGTAGACATACTGAGGCTGTAATTCCACAGAGGCAGATAAATAGAACTATCTGGAGTAGCCCTCCTAGGACAGCAACAGCTCGAACAACTCGAAGCTTAAAATAAAAAGTATGAAGTTAGAAAAATGGTATGAAGATTGATGTAAAGAGTATCATACAAATAGAAAAGAAAGGGTCAGAGGCATAACCAACCTTTGCAATGGAGAACTCTAGGCCCAATGCAAAAAGAAGAAAAATCACACAAAACTGAGCTACTGTTTCGACCTGCATGATTCAAATGAAAGGATAAAAGCTAAACTATTAAATTTTAGAATGTATGAATAACCAATAAACAATTAAACATGTTCAAATGGAACAGCCTCTAATGAAATGAGATCACCCCAGCCATCCCCAAAAAATATTAGACAATATGAACATAAAACTTTTTATGTATTACTTACTGGCACTTAAAACGTTGCCTATGTTTATTTTAAGTATTGCCCTAGTTTGATAGAGGCACCAAGCCACCGACTACCAATTGTAATACAATATGCACATATAACTTTTTTTGTTGAAAAATAAATTAAAGGGAAAAAGACATAGCCGGCTTTCACAAGAACAGATCAATAAGAGCTGTGGATTGTTCAGGTAGGCCTCAAATGAACTCAAAAATATCATAATAACTAATATTAAATGAGATGAAGGAATGCAAATTAGAAACAACGCTCATTTTTCATTATAAGGCTCCATGAAAGAGAGTGAACAATGGCAATATGATCAGGAAACCATCACTCAGAACAGTAACGAAGGGTTTAATATCAATGTTGATTACTAAAATTTAATGAAGCATACAACATACTTGCACCAGTAATAACCTGTAAAATGTGTAAGAATAAAATATATAGGAAATTAGTAATCCGAGACACTCTAGAGGGACCAAACAGGCAAACATTCAAATAAAAGATTAGATAGGCGTATATCAATACAATCAGACCGGTTGTCCAGCACAAGCAAATGCAATGCCACCACAAGTTGCAGAACATGACAACTACCAAATTGATATCAGTCTACAGAGCATAAGCAAAAAAGTTTAAATCAGCTTATTAGTAGAATGTAAAAAGACAAATTTGGTGAAACAAAGATGATATAAATTTTACCTTAAGTCCAGTTGTAAAACTGGATATTTTGATTTAAAATTAGTTATGATGAAGACATTGTCCTGAAAATAAATCAGCACCTCAGATTTCAAAGTATGGAAAAAAAATATCTCAACATGAAGTTTTAAAAGAACCAACTAACCTTTTGATCTATCAACATCGGTGTATCTTCAGCTCTGTTATCATTCTCTAGGTTGAATACGTCATGGAGTTGAAATGATCTAAAAGGAGGATGCAAAAGGTGTGAGGGAACTACTATATGTTGCTATGTAGTTAAGAAGAAGATACTATATGAAAATTGCTCAAAACTTTCGATCGTCAAAATAGAAAATCATGCTCTTCCATTAACACCTAAAGTAATCAGAACTAAAAATGAACAAAGTAAATCTACTCATTGATGAGGAGAAGCACATACTTTTCGTCTTTCATATCATTTTTCTTCGTCTTAACTTGGGCAACGGTTTCCAAAACAGCCTGATAGACAGACACATATGAAAGAGAATAAGTTAGCAAGTTCTACGAGCTGAAATGATTTTAAAAGAATGAGTACTACCAACCTGTTGTTCTGCTACACTGTTATTGAAACTACCAGTATCATCAGTTACTGCAAACAATAAAACGAAAACACTGATGAAAAGTCGGAAATAGAATTTCCTTTAGATTTTGATTCTTACGAAGGTTAAGAAAACAATGACGCCAATGACTGCCAGTCTGTTTCCAGGAATTAACCATATATTGACGATAAAAATCATAACCTGACAATAGATCGAACTCAACAACCTTAGAAAAGAAATAAAAACAAGAAGTAATTGCGACAGTATATAAAGAACTAGCAAATTTGAAGTAAACAACTACAATTAAGCTGAAAACTTTACTAGTAAAGTTCAGATGCACGGATTTGAAACCTAATACCTAATATAAGCAAATCAGAGTGCGGAAAAAAGGAAATGAACCTTCGTTTTGTTCTTTCTCATTGAACTCCTTCTCCAAAGCACGATCGATGATAGCGGCAAATGTACCGTCCTTAGGTTTAGTCGCCGACGAAACATTTGAAACGGTGTCGTTTCCAGCATCGAACCGATCCGGTTCAGCGAGTTGTAGTTGTTGTCGAGTGAGTGAAAACGAAGCCAAACAAAAAGCAGTAACGATGAAGGAAGTAACAATAAGCTCATAGGAGGAGGAATTTGATCTTATCAACATCTGAAAACCACGCCCGGTGAGGAGGTTAAGAGCTTAACAGAATCCTCGCCTTGTTGCTGCTAAACCAATGCAAATTAAGAACGGAGAATATAGATTTATTTCTATTTTCGTTCGAGCAAATCGGAAATTTAAGAGACGATGATGAGATGAAATTGAAATCGAAAGAAACTGTGAATTGAAATATTGAATTCAAGAGACAGAGAGGGCGAGGCGAGAACGGAGTCGTGTGGTAGGTGCAGAAGAGAAAGGAAATAAGTGTAAAAGAAACGGTATATACACAGATGAAAGGGGTAAGTAAAGTACAATTACACCACAGTTGGGGATCAGGAGTCAACTTGTCGTCGTTAATTAATGGGGCAGAGATTTGGAAATAAACTACTTTGGTCAAACTCTTCTATTGATCCCTATATTATACATATATTATGAATTAGATCTCTGTATTTTTTAATTTATAATTTCAATCTTGATTTAAAATAAATGATACTATAATGATCCTATTGACTATCTAAGTTAATTATCAAGATGAAAGAATATTCTTTCAAATATATGGTTAATTATCTACTATTAGTTAGTGTAATGATCCTATTCACTATCTAAGTTAAAAACGGGTTAATTGCATCAAATGCATATAAAAATTTGAGGGTAAATTATGTATTTAGTACTTAAATTATCACTTTTAGTCCATTTCAGTACCAAAACTTTTAATTTTTTAAAATCATACCTAACATTTAATTTTTGTTTTATTTTAGTATTCGTTGTTAAAATCTTAGCACGATTAGTACTTAAACTATCAGTTTTGGTTCCTAAACTTTTAAGTTTTTTACAAAATTTAACGCTAAAATTTTAACATGGTATTGAAATGAAACAAAAACTAAATATTATGCATGATTTTGAAAAAAATGAAAGTTTTGGTACTAAAATTGATAAAATTTGATAGTTTAGGTACTAAACACATAATTTTCCCAAATATTTAATTAGATGGGGAGGCATAATCCTCCCATCTACCATTTGATTTGTCTTTGACCTTTATTTAAAGATGGATAAACTACGCTTTTAATATTTAAACTATTAGTTTTAATCTATTTTAGCATTTAATTTTCAATTTTTTCGAAATTATATACTTAAAGTTCAGCTTTTATTTTATTTTAGTACTCATTCAAAATTTAGCATTAAGTTTAGGGGGGGAAATGATATTATAGTAACTAAAACGGATACTTTAGATACCAAAAGCGTTAAATTTTTAACGGTCGGTATTAAAATGAAAGAAAACTTAAACTATAATTATGGTTTTGAAAAAAAAATTAAAGTTTTAGTATTTAAACGGATTTAAACTAATAAGGCCGCCATAAAAACCTTGGTCCGACCGACATTTTGCTGAGAACAAGCTCTCGTATTTCTTCGTCCGTTGAAGGCAAGACAGCGAATATGTGATGTGAAGTCAAAACAGTTTCATGGAAATGCAGAACCAGAATAGGAAAGAAGATAAAAGGGGAGTACTTCCGTATGGAGCCTTCAGGATGTATAACTGCTGGAGGAGTCAAGCAATTGGCTTAATGTTATCGTGTGAAACAGCTCCGGTGAGTGTAGATTCCGAGCTGACAGCTCCCGAGAAACTTGTTGCATACTCGGTCGAGATTGCGGACAGGCATGTAAGCATCGTGATGCTATTTTACAACGGAGACCACTTCTGCTGCTGTTTGTCTCCTCGGAGATGGAAGACGCTCGTCTAACAGATCTTTCAGTGATAAATGACCCAAGGTTGCTGATGATGAGCATGATGGAGAATGTGAAGAAGAAGATGATGACATGAATGATAACAGATCCCCAGGATGCTTTCCCATAAGTGTTTCCAATGTCAGCACTCCAAAGCTAAACACATCGCATTTTTCATTGACTTGCATGGTAAGCAAGCTCTACAAAAGAATAGGCATTGCTCAAGTACACGATCATGACTTCAAAAATGAAAAGAAAAAAAAAAACCTGGAGCCGAGTAACCAAAAGTGCCTTCAAAAGGGGTCCAATTGGATGAGTCAGGCTTTAGAAGCCTAGCAGCGCCAAAGTCTGCAACGTGAGCCACAAAGTCTGAATCGAGCAAATATTCTTGCTTGAAATGTCCCGATGGACTATGGGAGGGAAGCAGTCATGGTGCATATAGGACATAGCATTAGCCAAGCCTTTAACAACATTTACCCTCTTCTTCCAATCAAATTCAGTCGCTTGTTCATCACTCTTTAGTATCTTCTCCAGGCTCCCCCCTTCCAAGAACTCGTATACCAAAAATGAGTGTCGGGGATGGGAACAGAAACCATGAAGCTTCAGAATATTCAGATGGCGTACTTCGGTCAAGGCCTGGATCTCGCTGTTAAAGCTTTTGTTCTACCACCCATCTTCTGAAAGTTGGTGAAGCCTTTTCACAGCAACCATTTGACCATTAGACAATTGTGCCTTGTAAACGCTTCCGTATCCCCCTACTCCAATGCAGTATTTGGAGTCAAATTCTTCAGTTGCTTCGACGATGTTTTCGTACACCATTTTCCCATCAAAGTTGAAAACTGCAAACATATCATCACTCACTACAACCTGTGGCGTGTTCTCGGTATGCTTTTCTCTTCGTTTTGAAGAATAAAGAATCCCAAGGACAATGGATACAAGTAGTAGTGTGCATGAAATAGGGACTACAATTGCAATCACAATTTTACTTTTCTTCTTCTGATCAGCAGTATGGTTTAAATTTGATGAACATGATTCCAACCCTGTGATATTTCCGCACAAGCCTTTGTTGTTTCTAAAAGCCTCAAATGAAGCCTCTCGAAAGGCCTTGGCATGTGGAAGAGGACCCTCCAACTGATTGTGGGATATATCAACAGATGTTAAGCTTAACATACCATCAAAAGTTGAGGGAATGCGACCGAAGAGCTTATTGTGAGAGAGGTTCAGCTTTTCTAATGATTTCAAGTTCCCAACTTGCTCCGGTATTTTACCAATCAACAAATTGTGACTGAGATCAAGAACTTGAAGAAAAGACAAGCTACCAACCTCAAAAGGAATTCCTCCACTGAATCCATTGGCACTCAGATTTAGTTCCAAGAGTTTCTTGCAGTTGCTCAACCATGGTGGAATGGAACCATTTAAGTTGTTTGCAGCCAAGTTAAGACCCTCAAGGTCAGACAACATTTTGAGTTCTGAAGGAATACTGCCTGAGAGATGATTATCATTCAACATAAGCTTGAACAAGAATTTCAGCTGTCCCAACTCCTTTGGAATGCCTCCAGTTAGATGATTTGAAGAAAGATCACATACTCGTAGCTGAGTTGCCTTTCCAAGTTCTGAGGGAATCTCACCGGATATATTATTGTTCAAGAGCTTTAGAAATGTTAGATTGTGGCATTGACCCCATTTTGATGTCAGCTCACCAACCAATTTATTATCACTCAGATCAAGATAATCCAGGTTGGGGTATATGCCTAAATCTTCCGATACATTCCCTGTGAGTTGATTGTGTTCAAGCCGAAGTCTGTGTAAGCTGGTACAGTTCTTCAAACTCTTAGGGATTGGACCTGTGAAATAGTTATTATCTGCAGTAAATCTTTCAAGTACTCCGCCAAGGCACACTTGTTGTGGTAAACGGCCAGTCAAGTAGTTTTCAGTGAGTTGAAACGATTTCAGATTTGTAAGATTGTTCATCTCTGCTGGAATGAAACCACTGAGACTGTTGTTCAACAGATTTAAGTTAACAAGAGAACCTAGCATTCCAATTTCTTTTGGTATGGACCCCAAAATTTTATTGTCAGGAAGAAGAAGATCAGATAAATCAGTTAAATTTCCGATTTCTTTAGGTATGGACCCTGAAATTTTATTGACAGAAAGGCTAAGATAAGATAAGTTGGCCAAATTTCCAACAGATGGAGGGAGAGCGCCGATCAGATTATTTTCAGAGAGGTCAAGTTCATTCAAACACTTCAACTTTCCAATTTGTTGAGGTATAGAACCAGAGAGTCCATTTTTATATAAGTAAAGAAACTGCAGGTTTGTCAAGTTTCCAATGGAAGGAGGAATTTCACCAATAAGACTATTGTTGTACAAACAAAGCTTTTCAAGGGAACCCAACATTCCAATTTCTTTAGGTATGGACCCTGAAATTTTATTGCTAAAAAGGCCAAGATAAGATAAATCGGTTAAATTTCCGATTTCTTTAGGTATGGACCCTGAAATTTTATTGTTAAAAAGGTTAAGAAAAGATAAGTTGACCAAATTTCCAACAGATGGAGGGAGAGAACCGATCAGATTATTTTCAGAGAGGTCAAGTTCATTCAAACACTTCAACATTCCAATTTGTTGAGGTATAGAACCAGAGAGTCCATTTTTATATAAGTAAAGAAACTGCAGGTTTGTCAAGTTTCCAATGGAAGGAGGAATTTCACCAATAAGACTATTGTTGTACAAACAAAGCTTTTCAAGGGAACCCAACATTCCAATTTCTTTAGGTATGGACCCTGAAATTTTATTGCTAAAAAGGCCAAGATAAGATAAATCGGTTAAATTTCCGATTTCTTTAGGTATGGACCCTGAAATTTTATTGTTAGAAAGGCTAAGATAAGATAAGTTGACCAAATTTCCAACAGATGGAGGGAGAGAACCGATCAGATTATTTTCAGAGAGGTCAAGTCCATTCAAACACTTCAACATTCCAATTTGTTGAGGTATAGAACCAGAGAGTCCATTTGTGTACAAGTAAAGAAACAGCAGGTCAGTCATGTTTCCTATAGAAGCAGGAATTTCACCAGAAAGATGATTGGAAGAGAAGTCGAGGTATGTTAATCTCGATAGCTTACCAACATCTGATGGAATGGTTCCACTGAGATGATTGGAGCTTAGATCAACCACAGTAAGTTTGGGGAAGGAAGAGAAGTTAAAACCATGAAGCGTACCTTTCAAACCGGAACTGGAAAGGTTTAAATGGCTTACACTTGTAGACTTGTCACAAATGATCCCGGTCCAGTTACAGGGGCCATTTCCATCCCAATAAGAGAGGAATGACTGGCTTTGAGCATCAAGACTGGCCTTCCATTTTAGAAGAGCATCGGCTTCCTTCTGTCCTGCCGATGATTCATCTCTAAAAGTGGCAGAAACAGAAGCAAAGGCATGGCAAGAAGAAAGCAGCAGCAGGGTAAAGAAGAAGACCCTGAATGATGAAGATGTTAACTTGTTGGCAAAAGGTATCATGGCTTGAAATTGCAGGGGGAAGTATCGGTTACACTCAACTATAAAGGGCAATTAGTTTCTGTGAATATGATTAAGAACGAAGAATAAGTATTACATCTGTAGCTAACTTAATTTTCCATAGACTTTGACGTTTCAAGCATGCAGCCAACCGGGTCTTCATCGGGGTTGAAACTTATGGGGGTGACCACTTGCTTCGTATCCTGCTCTTTGAGTACCATTATTTTCAGCCTTTTCATTTTCTGAAATAACCTTAGGGTTATTTCAAGCATGCAGCCAACCGGGTCTTCATCGGGGTTGAAACTTATGGGGTGACCACTTGCTTCGTATCCTGCTCTTTGAGTACCATTATTTTCAGCCTTTTCATTTTCTGAAATAACCTTAGGGTTATTCAAGCATGCAGCCAACCGGGTCTTCATCGGGGTTGAAACTTATGGGGGTGACCACTTGCTTCGTATCCTGCTCTTTGAGTACCATTATTTTCAGCCTTTTCATTTTCTGAAATAACCTTAGGGTTATTTCAAGCATGCAGCCAACCGGGTCTTCATCGGGGTTGAAACTTATGGGGGTGACCACTTGCTTCGTATCCTGCTCTTTGAGTACCATTATTTCAGCCTTTTCATTTTCTGAAATAACCTTAGGGTTATTTCAAGCATGCAGCCAACCGGGTCTTCATCGGGGTTGAACTTATGGGGGTGACCACTTGCTTCGTATCCTGCTCTTTGAGTACCATTATTTTCAGCCTTTTCATTTTCTGAAATAACCTTAGGGTTATTTCAAGCATGCAGCCAACCGGGTCTTCATCGGGGTTGAAACTTATGGGGTGACCACTTGCTTCGTATCCTGCTCTTTGAGTACCATTATTTTCAGCCTTTTCATTTTCTGAAATAACCTTAGGGTTATTTCAAGCATGCAGCCAACCGGGTCTCATCGGGGTTGAAACTTATGGGGGGACCACTTGCTTCGTATCCTGCTCTTTGAGTACCATTATTTTCAGCCTTTTCATTTTCTGAAATAACCTTAGGGTTATTTCAAGCATGCCCAACCGGGTCTTCATCGGGGTTGAAACTTATGGGGGTGACCACTTGCTTCGTATCCTGCTCTTTGAGTACCATTATTTTCAGCCTTTTCATTTCTGAAATAACCTTAGGGTTATTTCAAGCATGCAGCCAACCGGGTCTTCATCGGGTTGAAACTTATGGGGGTGACCACTTGCTTCGTATCCTGCTCTTTGAGTACCATTATTTCAGCCTTTTCATTTTCTGAAATAACCTTAGGGTTATTTCAAGCATGCAGCCAACCGGGTCTTCATCGGGGTTGAAACTTATGGGGGACCACTTGCTTCGTATCCTGCTCTTTGAGTACCATTATTTTCAGCCTTTTCATTTTCTGAAATAACCTTAGGGTTATTTCAAGCATGCAGCCAACCGGGTCTTCATCGGGGTTGAAACTTATGGGGGTGACCACTTGCTTCGTATCCTGCTCTTTGAGTACCATTATTTTCAGCCTTTTCATTTTCTGAAATAACCTTAGGGTTATTTCAAGCATGCAGCCAACCGGGTCTTCATCGGGGTTGAAACTTATGGGGGTGACCACTTGCTTCGTATCTTGCTCTTTGAGTACCATTATTTTCAGCCTTTTCATTTTCTGAAATAACCTTAGGGTTATTTCAAGCATGCAGCCAACCGGGTCTTCATCGGGGTTGAAACTTATGGGGGTGACCACCTGCTTCGTATCCTGCTTTTTGAGTACCATTATTTTCAGCCTTTTCATTTTCTGAAATAACCTAAACAGAGGGCTTCCCTCAACTGACATCTTCGTAGAGCTTCCAATAATCTCAGAAAAATCTGAATGTATTAGGATACTCGTTTAATAACTTGAGCGACAACATTTCGATTCCTGCTGAGAGATGATTATCATTCAGCATTAAGCTTGAATAAGAATTTCAGCTGTCCCAACTCAGATGATTTGAAGAAAGATCGCGTACTAGTTGCTGAGTAGGGGTGTTCAAAAGTTCCGCTAATCGATAAAACCGATCGAATCGAATTTTTTCTGTTAATCAATCGATTAATTTTAGGTTTGGTTAGTTAAGGGTTAATGATTCTTTTAAAAGTTTTGTTATTGGTTAATTAGGTTCGAAATCGGTTAATTAATTGAATTAAGCGCAATTTTTAAATATTTAATATATTTTTTATATTAATAGCTTTTGAAGTGTTTAAATTATTTGTTAGATTCGATTATTTATTTTTGAAAAAAAATTAGTTCGATTGACGGTTAAAGCAAACAAAAATTCAATTAATGAAATTTTAAAAGTTCGGTTCGATCAGTTAATTGAACAGACCGATTGAATACCCGTATAGCTGAGTTGCCTTTCCAAGTTCTCAGGGTTTATCCTTTTCCCTTTCTTTTACATGTTTCTTTCCGGTCCTTATGTCGTCACCGTTTGATATTGATCCCTCTTTAATTTCTATTCAAATTTAGGGTAAACTACATGCTTAGAATATAAACTATCAATTTTAATCTGTTTAAATACTTAACTTTCATTTTTTTTAAAATCATACGTAAAGTTTAGTTTTGTTTCATTTTAGAACCCCCTTTCAAAATTTAACGTGAAGTTTTAAAAAAAATTGAAAGTTTTGGTACTAGAACGGACCAAAACTAATAATTTAGGTACTAAACGCGTTAAATTTTTAACAAAGAGGTATTAAAATGAAATAAAAACTAAATGTTAGGTATAATTTTAAAAAATTAAAAGTTTAGATATTAAAATTGATGAAAACTAATTGTTCAGATACTAAATGTTTTAATTTACCTTTAATTATTGGTTTGATAAAACTTTCTTTCATGAGTAATATATACACAATTAATAAAAGGCTTAATGCCTAAATAAGTGCTCAAACTGTACCTTTTGTGTTGAATAAGCGCCTACATTATTTTTTAGTCCATTTAGGTGTCTAACATTACAAACGTTACCTTGTTAGGTTGTCGGGCCGTCAACGACATTAGTTTTCTCTGTTAAGTAACACGTCTCGTAATCTGGTAATTTTGAAATTTATTTTTTAAAAAATATTGAAAATATTATTATATTATAAAAAAAAACCTAACTTCTTTTAAATTACAAAAAAAGCCTCAAAATCCCTAAAAGCCTTAAATCCTAACACTAACCCACCGTTGGCGCCCTCTCCGGCCACGACCACCGCCGCCAACGTAGTCCTTGCCATCGTCCTAGTTATATGTCATCGTAGTTGTCGCCGATTCACCGTCAGAATATAGTGAGATCATGATTTTCATCCTAAGGTTTGCGATGTATAAAACGTCGATTTGTCGTCGATCGATTGTCAACCGATCACGATTTCATAAAGGTTTTGGTCTCCGGAAGGAGGGGAGGTCGGGTGGAGCTTCTTCGACGGCAAAGAGCGGTTGTCGACGTAGGTTTAGGGGTTGAAATGAAGGTTTTCAAAGCTTAGGGGTTACTTTGAAATTTATATGTTTTCTTTTTTAAAATATATAATTTTATTTTTTAAAATTTATATAAAATTCTTAAAATTATTAGATTGTGACTTAAAGGGGTTAAACTAACGTCGTTAGCATCTCGGGCACCTAAAATGGAATTGTTTCTAATGTTAAACACATGCATGGGCCAAAAACTAATGTAGACACCTATTTGACATAAAAAGTAAAATTCGGGCACTAATTTGGACATTAAACCTGAATAAAAATCCATTCGCTTTTCTTACTAAACTGGTGGCTAGGAATATTTAGGTTACATTTATTCTCATGGGACCACAATTTTCTCGTCAACTTTCATTTTCAATTTTCTTTTTCCATTTTCCATGTTACAATAAAAATACCATCAAAATCAATAATTGAATTCAGATGGGAAAAAGTCATGAAATCAAAATAAATTTAACTAACGTATTTAAATATTGAAATCTGAAACCTACA